ACCGAAAAATGCACATTAGGATACACACTGGTGACCAACTAAATTTTATTCCTAGTTCGGTTTACACACCCAGATGAAATTGAAATAGACCTATATCTATAGTCCAATTTCGATGTTTCATATACAACAGATGGATCCACACTTGTATTTTTTTAAGCTGATTTCATGATTGATTCGGCTCACTGCAATTTTCTTTGACCCACATAATCCTCTTCTTGGCGATATCCAGTTCCTCGGTACTCGTTGAGTCTTCAACACTGTCTAGGTAGTAGGTGAAATTCTCATTGATAATTTCCTTTTTAAATTTCTTGTTCATCAGATTTGTTCGAAAGAGTATGTCCACGGCCTCCCTGATCTGCTGTTTTTTGGTCATAAAGCCAGTCTTTCCGTTGCACTCCAGTCTATTTCATCGCCTGTCAGGGTAATCCGTTTGGCTATCTCCAAACTTTCCGTATCCATTGTTCTGCATAGTCGCTTTTGTTCTATGATCCTTGCGTTAGTTGTCCTTGCAGCTTCTCCGACCCACTTTTGTTAACAGTTCTATAAATTAGTGGACATCGCGGAGTGGAAACCGAGCTAGGGGCACAATATCAGTTAGTCCCCAGTGTGTGTGTATCCTTATGTGTTTTTATTGAGAGTGGACTGGTGACATGTCTGGCCAGGTAGGTGACCAACCAAAGGATACCTGCACAACTGACTAGAAACTGAGTATAAGTGTAAACACGAGAGACAAAAGGAGTGTTCTTTATGTGCATCAGGAGTGGAGAATGGAAGCAGTGCATCTTCACACCTGCGGTCCCAGAGAATAAGAGAGAATGGGGTGGGGATCAGAAAGAGGATAACTGGGCCATAGGTCTGAAGCCTGAGCAGAAGAAGATGCCAAGGCATGAGAATCACCTCTTCTAAACTCTCGAACATGACAAACACGGGGACCGGAATTAAAGGCTCGTGGGCAGCCAGATTTCAGACGTCTAGACAGTTATTTTCATACTGAGCAGAGAACAAGTGACAAGCGGAATAGAGGCAGTTAAATGAAAGTCAGGAGATCAGCAAACGACATCTAAAATCGGTGTTGAAGGTGATTATGCTTAACTAAATCCGCCTGAAGCGACAAACTCATAAGTGACGGAAAATCGGTCAGGGGAAGTGCTTTTGCTTGCCACTTTAATACGTTGTAACTCTGTGCTAAGGAGGGCGTATTTCACTAACGATGCCGGAGAAACTTCAGGAAACGTACCAAGTCAACGATCGGAAGCTGGAAATAATTATGATTTGTATGGTAGAGGACGCAGGACTAGTTACGTTCCACAAGGTCTCCAAGTTGCGAAAGGGAGGTCGAACCAATATTACACTGGTTTAAATAAACAGCTTTTGAGCTTGATATAAAACATTAATTAGCAAAGCTGTCGGGAAAATGATCAACTATGTGAAAGTAGTATTGCGTTAGCAATATGATTTCCGCAAAAAGTGAAGATAAAGTTTGTCATTTTAACAGAATTGGCACATTTTAATAATGAATCGAGTTAAAATGCCATCGGAAAAGTTAGCCTATATCGAACATCTGTAAGGGACCCTTTCTAAGAAGGGCAAATGATTTTTCAATATTATACTCACTATGTACGATTTTAGCAAGAAAATCACGATTTAATATTCACCTTTAGGTGATTCAAACACGACAAACTAGCTGAACGGTACGAAATGACTCATCTGTTGAGGTAATTCAAGTCTAAACTGAAATACTCTGAATGATTTTATACATATTATGCAAATTATCTGCATTTTGCTTGATTATGATGATATCCTCGTAGAATCGCATAGAGCATCAAACTAAATGTCTCATAACTTAATGTGATTTCTACATCTGCTTGTCTATGAGACTTAAAATGCAAGGAAAATACTATCCATTTAAAAAATATTTAAATTTTAAATGGGTAACTTTGACATTTAAATGCATTTCTGATTCTTGAAACATACTTTTTAATGTAAGTATCATATACGGAGGCAGGTAAAGCCCAATATATCATCCCATCGAAGCCTTAAATTGTTAGCCCACTGAAACTTATTCTGATAAATATAATCCTGGATCACGGTTTAAGGAGTGGAGAATAGAGGCACATGTATGTGCTTAATATGCATGTACGTCTAAGAGGAGAGTTTATTGACTCGGTTTTACTTATGGCAAAATGAGAAAAAGTAGACTAAATTCCATATTTGGTTATTCCGATAAGATTAGAGTTGCAAGAATACTTTATTAATTTTACTTTGAAGTTGACAATCTTGTTGTAGATGAACCTATCCGTTGGCTACGCTAAACTATTGGATTAAGTGTAATGCAGGTATCTTGTTTACATCTCAATATATAAAATTTTTTGTAAACATGTAAAAATTAGATAATGATAGCTATTGCTATTGTTGAGTAGGCAGGGAAGAGTTATTCAGCAATAAGATCTAGTAACTCTACTATTATTTACTAACTACCAAAGTAAGGAATTAGGCTTATGCGAGAACATAAAAATTGTAAAAGATCCATGGCTTAAAGTAACATAAGCATAATTGGCAATAAATTTGACAAATAAGCCTCTAGCTTACCATGTAGATACTTTACGAATGCTAAGTTTGTGTTGCTCACTTTAGTGAGAAATGGCCTATAAGAAGTTGAGTAGCTGATAACGAAGTAAATGCTACATTATGTTTTTAGCACCGTTTTATTTAAATATGGTGTGCTTGAAGAACCAGTGAATCAGGATTTGCTAATTTCCCAAATATTTTGGAGAATACTTAAGTTTGGATATGAGAAGGGCTGTTTGATAACAGGGAAGATGAAAGTAAAACATTAGCTATGCACATTTCCCTGGCTTTGGGAAATAAAATCTCAACTATCGTAATATTTCATAATAAAATGATCAGAGGTGTCTAAATGCACTTGGATATGAAAAACTCAATGTAACTTGAATTTATAATTGTTCAGGCCCTATAAAGCCTCATCAAAGCAATATAAGGGACAAATCTTGATGGGGAACATCATTTGTTCCTTGTTTTTTTATAATAAATTTCTTAGATCCATGCCATTTTTCCATTAATTTCGAGTCAGCCGTTAGGAATAGAAATACCCTTTTGGATATAATAAAATCTGAAATTTACCCTATTCCGATCTCTGTCTCTAAATGGCAGGGGACGATCCTTCATTGTAATATAGGTCTTTAACAAAATATTTTTTCCAAAAATTTAAATTAAATTAATCGCAGATTTGAAGACCACAATTGTGTGGCCTTTTGTATGGTCGCGATCTCCTTCCGTTATATAGAAGTTGTTTGATCTTGTTTTCGCAACTTGGTCATTATGACAGGAAAACCTAGAGGAACGCACCTTGTCCGCAATCCATAGTATGTATGATAATTTCCGGAGTTGGACCATAGACTTGATACATTCCTAAACGTTTTGCCTGCATCGTAGTCGGCATCGACAATGCAGATATGACCAAATTGCTAAAACAAGGTCAAATGGCTTCTAAATTAATCTTAATTTAACTTTTTTGATGCTTAACTTTATCTATATTTCCTATTAAAGCACAACCTCGGAGGAGCTTTTAGCATTTTATGGGCTATAAGCTATTCACAATGGAGCAAAGTTATGTATAAAATGAAGAAACAAAAAGCGTTTGCTGCTTCGAAATTAGTTTGAATATATAAATTCAACTTAGGTGCATAATTATGGAAAGTATAACAAATCGGATGCAAAATTCTCTATATTTATTAATTATTTTTACACTCATGTACATGGCTATCGCGTGTTTTGCACACAAATCTTAGTCTTTGAATGGAAATTGCGGCTTGTGCTTCGAGGAACTCTTCATTTTAACCATTCTTGGTCATTTATTTTATCCACATTTGGCTTTAAAAATACCATTCAGCAAGTTACGTCAT